CTGCCTAGCTCTTACGGTATGGGCTGTGCGTTGATTACCAATTAGTTGGTCAGTAAGTCAGTCAGTCAGTCAGCCAGTCAGGACAAACAGTTTTATATATAGAGATATATATATATAATGATTAATATATATATATATCTTTATATCTATATAATCGCATTTCATAACCCTGCCAGCACCCAGTTATCTGGTCAGACTGGAATAAAATTGTTAAGATATTTGGGGATTCAACAAACGTGTTTGTGTATTAAGAGATGATAAAATAAATTAATTCTTACACAAGTATTGAAATGCGTTTGGTGCTATATTAAGAACGTATAAGGTCACTCAACCTGATCATAAACAAAATAAACAATAATGGGCGAAAAGAGTGTCTTGAAAGAACAATTAAACGTAAACACAAATATTGACACAATTTCTTATTATCACTAGTATCACTTCTCAGCATGCTTTTGGCGGAAAACAACATTTACAGAACCAAGTCATGATTTTTATGAGTCTATTGGCAAAACATCAATGTGGCTCATTTTAGTTAGAAATTGGTGGGGCTATTTCATATGTGGCGGTTGAAGCGTTTGAAATGCAACCACGCCGACTGGCAATACAGTTGGGTAACTTATACAGCCAGACTAAGGTCTTGCCTCTGGCGATCACTCACCTGAAACACATAGACGAATATGTGGAACGTACAAATGGCCTGGTGGATCGAGAGAATGGCACACCACATGCACTGCCAGCGACTTGTCGAGCCCAACAGCCTTTGCAGTGTCTTCATTTGGAGTAGCTCCAACTGGTCGTCGCTGATGGGCGTGGCCAGCAGCATTGGCGACAATTCGCCCGTATTTGTTTCAACCGTTTGCATATTGAGCGCACAATTTGAATTGGTCTCGAAAAAGTCAACCGACTGCGGCTTCTGACGCCAATCAACTGATTTAGAATGTTTGCGAAAATTAAGATTTCAGTTAATGAACGAACACATGGTTTATAATCATATGCAAAATTCGATTTTTTGTGCGTATTTTATGATTTACATGTATATTTTCTGACAGTTTCGGCCATATAGCGGACCTCAAGCGCGCACTATACTATTACAACTGAGTCGTTAGACAGGCAGGTGTTGAAAACGAAGTGGAAGTCACAGTTGCACAGGTGCGCCAACACACAAGATTTCTAAAGGGGCATTAAGATAAAGTTCAACAAGCCGGAATGACGATCAAAAGAGCTGCGCTTAACTGATCAGTATAAGTTAAGCATAAATTAACCCACCTGAGCACGGAATTTAGATCACTGATCTGGAAACCGTTGAGAGAAAGAGAGAGAGAGCGGGAGAGAGAGAGAGAGAGGGAGAGAAAGAGAGAGAGACGGAGAGAGAGGTAAAGAGAGAGAGAGAGAGTTTAAATTTCCAGCAGTCAATTCGTATTTTTTATTATTCAAAGTCTTAAAAACTAAAATATTTTTCAGTATAACATTTCTGTGTGGCCTTAACGGAGTTTCGAATGGAAGCTGTATTATCTTAGCTTGAGGCCTGACTAATATTTCATACACGATGCTTTTATCTGATTTCAGATGTGCATATTAATGGATGGGTTCAGGTTCAGGTAATATAGCAGAACGTACCCAAAAATCACGCCGCTCCCAAAATTGCTTTGACATATAAGGTCATAAAAAGTTCGGAAGGGATTAGTTAGTTTTGGGATAGTTCAATAAATTAAATTTAAATATCACCTAACTCAACTGTGTTGTAGTAAAAATGTATGCTATTTTGGAGTCAATACAATAAACATTTACAAAAAAAAAGTAAGTAAATAAATCCTTTGGAAGGTCGAGTCTTTATGGCCAAATGTGTCCATTCTGTTAGCCCAATACGCAAATGAGGTAAAAATAGAAGATCATGGCAATTTAATAACAATTCTCAAGCCCGTTTCTTTATCTGTCGTTTTAAAAATAAACTTTTTTAAAAACAACGTTTACTGTTTCCCTGGAAATTTCATAAAATTTTCTGAAATTTTAGTATAATCATATATGTATATATGTATGTACTTGTAATATTTACTGCATGATTGCAAATTTTTAATTCTTGCATCATATGCAACCAATCATAATTTGGTCAAGCTTGACTTATAATTGGTAGTTAGATAACCATATTAACATATAATATGCTTACATAAGAATGGCCCATTGATATGGGGTTGTAAGCATGCAATTATCGACTGGTAAATAGCCACACTAATGTATCTCTTAAGTTCTTGACATCTTGATGCTGCGATTTTCTTACTTATTTAGTATGCCATATGATGAACCGTCTGTGTCAAGGTACTCTGCGGTTTGTTTTTCTTTTTTGGCTACCCTCCCAATTGCACATTAGCACGCTAGATGATTATCTTGATTAACATACGCTGAATCGAACAGTCGAAGTGCTTGCAATTGACTAGCACGCAAGACAATCAAAGTATCTGACAGATACGCGCAGTGACAAATGATCGCAGATCTCAAATTCTGAGGCCCATTTGGTGCGTATGGAATACGATTCCAATGCAAATTGCTCGAAGGTCGCTCATGAGTGGGTTTCACGCGACATTGTTAATGCCTGAAATATTGGCAAATTAGTGATAGATAATAGGCTTTTGATTATTACTCGCGCTCTCATTCAACACTTTTTGAATTCGACGAATTGTTGACGGAGCCAAAGCAACAATAAGAATAATGTCAAGTGCTGGCTGGCTTGCCAGTTAAAATCCTCAGGGCTTTCTTGTTATCACATTTTTTTTTTTTTTAGCAAGATTACCGTCTGCCATGTTTCGATTGTTTAGTGTGTTTATATTGTTTATTTACTCTATTAACAGTTCCTCAAATTCGAGTTAATGGAATGACGAACACTCCAGGCTAAATATTATGATAGTAACTTAATTACACCAATTTGTATATTATTTAAAATATAACCCTGCCATTTGACCTACATTTAAATGTACAAGCATCGTGTTTATATGAATTCACGCTAAGTTGTATGTAAATCAGATACATTTAATCATATATTATTAAATCATTAAATCGACAAATAAACCAAACAAATTGACTTCTACCAATTGGTCCATTCAAATAAAACTTTCCAACTTTTTTACAAAACACAAATCACCCAATCAAGCAATTATTAAAACTTTTGCATGGCCAAATTGCCCTCGATCTGTTTTAGTTCACAAAACGCAACACAGCACAAAACAGTACAAAATTTGGATTTGAAAGTGCGACGCAATCAAGTGTGCAAATATTTGGCAATCCATAAGCTGAAACTCACCTGAAACACAAACATAAACAAATGAAACGTGGTGGGTATCTGGAATAAGCACAATAGAAATGTCCACATGAAGCTCCATTTACGATAATGGCCCAAGAAATTTGATAAAACATCGCTATCGACGTCCTGGCTAAGATCCTTGACGGGGCTAGGCGTGGGTGCGGTGACAGTCCCGAGGCCAACCTTCTTCAGGTCATCCGAATGGCGACGAAAGTCCATGGCAATTACACTTATTTCCGGTGTGCCTGGCACTGGCTTTGTCTCGCGGTAGCCACCATTAAGGTTCGAATCAAGGCTGCCCCGCGAGCTGCCGCCAGCGCAATCGAAATTCAGGGAACCGCGTCGCAGCACGCCACTCATATCGCAAAGTGGCAAATAAAAAATGCACAACAATTAAATGTATAACACTTAGTAAAAATTTGTGTCGTTTTTATATTTATTTGCTGATCGATTGTATTGCTCCGAGTCGCGCCGTTGATTGTTTGCTTTGCTTTTGGCGACGATCTAAATCCGTTAAAAGTTTGGCGAAGCTATTATAAATGGCAAAAAGCTCGAAAGCTCTATGCGGCGGCGTTGCCAGCTGCAAGAAACATAAAAACACAAACGCTAAACTTCGCCTAAGTCAACGACTTGAAAGTTGTCGTAGGTTGCGAAGCTTTCGCTGTAGCTTTGAGGCCTAGAGTTAAAAAGAGGTTGAGATATTCATTTCCACATATTTATTAATTATTTGTAAGCATATTTGTGTTGACACTAATTGATTTACGTTGCTTTGATAATTTTGATTTAAAACAATTTCATAAATATGCCATTATTAACATTAATTTCCCAAGTTCCAGTTGCACATTGAGCATTTAACATGAGCTTTAAAATATGATTTAGTTTGGGTGCACTTCCCCTAGATGGAATATTAAAGAGTTTTCATACATTCTTGCATTTGCATCAAGATTTGAACATAACTGGATAACACTCGTTTTATCATAGTTTAACATTAAAAATTCATCTTTCATATCTTATCTGCATATACGTATGTATTTTTTTTTCATGTATATTCTTGTACATATTCTATTTTCTCATCCTTAACATACATGGCGAATTTTTTGAATTTTATTTAATTTACAAATTGCGAATTTAAATAAGCAGTGTTGGCACTAATAAGCATATCTATACAACATAAAATTATACTTTTCTCGTAAGTACAATACAAGTAAATCATAAACAAATAAAAGCTTACAATTAAGAACATTATTATTATATATGTAAGTACAGCAAGCATTTTGACGGTTTTTCATAAAGCAGAAATTTTGTAAAGCTAGTAATTTTTTTATTTTTTGTTTTTTTTTTTTGCCTGCTTACACGCTTTTTGATCATGTAAACTAACTTGTTTTATTTTTTTGAACTACATACATTCATTTATTTAAATGCATTATTGTGGGAAATTTTTGTAAATTATTGTTGATGATCTTTCGTTACGACCAAATAACATGAACAGATTTCCATATGAGATGAGTTAAAACAACAAGCATTGGCTGCTCTCAATTTGTATGTATGTATGTGCTTATATACAAATACAAATACATATACATATATAGCTAATATGTATGTGTGCATAATTGACCGATATTTAGTTTGTGTATATTTTATTCTAGTGATTAATTGACTACATTTACCAGAGATTACATTTTTCACTTCAATTTAATAATTTTGTATATTTATTTTTTTATAAAACATTTAGTAATAGACGGCAATAACAACGAGATTATGTATACGTTGACATATTGACAAGACATATCGACAAGAATTTTTGGTTTGTTTATATATATTGGCTGCTGTGCATAGCGCTGCTGATGGAGTAAATAATTTAGCAATACTTTTACATACACTTTTTTTGACATTCATTTCTAGTTATTCGGTTGTCCTACGAAAATCTCACAAAAATTGTTTTGGGCAGGAGACAATGGCGATATTATCCACGATTTGAAATTATTTCATAACAACTTTAATAATTAACTTGAGATGTTATTTAAAAGCTTAAAAGTAGATACGAGGGTGAGAAAAGTTTAACTGTTGCGTAATTTGAGTAATTTGCTCATCATGTTCCATGTTGTACTATATTAATGTGAAATTTATTATCTTCGATGATACCGAAGCTATTAACCTACTCCGAATTGTGACTTTGTTAACAATATGTATTTTTCGGTTCTTATCCTATTATAAGCTAAAAGCCATTGTTACTTTCTGACTACTTTTTTTGTTTTGTTGTTTAGTTTTTGTTTTTAAATACTCGCTACTTGCTACGCATATAAGGTCCTGCCTGACACTTTGAATTATGGCATTTAATGGACATTCGATAAATTGCGCTATTTACTTGAGTTCCCGGTTGTAGGAAGGTGACGGTGGCTGCGGCGATGGATATGTCAAATCAGGGCTGGGCAACGATTATTGTTGGTATTGCTAGATTGTTAGTAGTTTTTGGGTAGCCTGTGTGCTCATTTACATACTTTGGACCAGCCAAAATATTTCCTAGGTGACAGGGGATGAGTAGAGGGGGGAGGCGTATTATGACGACGTCTCTGAAATTTATTACACCTGCTTTGCTGCGTTCTGGCGTCTGGTTGCGGATGATGCATTTTTTCGCACCGCCGTCTCCGGTAAGAAGAGCACCACGAAGCCACCAAAGATGCTCCAGGCGGTTAGCAGTGACATCAACAGGTGGCCCTCGATTTTGTTCTGTGCAATGGAGTTGTAAAATATTATGAATCAATTCTGTGCTGTGTGAATTATCCAATTTTTATTTCGTACCAAAAGCGACAAGTAGGGCGTTAATATTAGCGCCAATCCGGCAGCCACATTGCAGGCGCCCACGCCCACATTGCGTATGGCTGTGGGATATAGTTCTGCAGTATAAACGGGCATGATAGTGTTGCCGGCGCTGATCGTAAACTTGCCCATCATCAGGAATGTGATCTTCAGCCAGAGCATATCCTCGCGACCCTCGGTGATCGCAGCACAGCAGCAAGCGACCCCGGCACAGAGCAAGGTGGCGCAGAAGAGCCACTTCTTGCCCACCTTGGTGATAATGTACATGGCCACCGCAATGGCAGGTATTTCGACTAGGCCAGCTAGCGCCTGCAAGAGAAGTCGAAAGACAGACAGATACATCACATGAGAAACACTTGCTCTCGGATGTCGGCGGGCCACACTAAATCAAAGCGGCATCAAAGGTGCGCCATGCCATGTCAAAATAAATTATGCAATAAATTTCCTCAAAAAAATAAAAGATAAATGCTTTGGCCATTGTTTTGCTGGGAGTGATGCGCATTTAGATGGACTTATGCAAAATTAGCTACTAAATTAATTTAAATAAATTCTAGTAAAATGTTTAGTTAACAAAAGTGCGAGTAGGATTGATTCAGTATTTGGGACGTTTTCTTTATAATAAGATGAATAACATCTTCAGAAATAAATACTAAGCTCCTGTAATTTATGCATCTTCGATTCATTTTAAAAGTTAATACTTAATTAACATAACGTTAAACTTAATTTCATTTTGCATCTAATAAATTCGTTTTTCTTTCAATTTCTAATGTTTTATAGAGTATACGAAATAATAATTAATTTATTCTTTCCACGAACAGCAAACAGCTAAAAAAATATAGTTTCAGTTAAAAAAAAAAAATCTTTTTTATGCAGCATTTGCCATTGGCTTTTAGCCAAATTCCGCACATGACTGTACAGCTGGTCAGGGGAGGGGCAGGGACATCAGCAGGAGAAGCCGCCTCAGCATTTATTTAGAGCCCTTGTAGGCAACATCATAATTCGATAGTAAACACATTTGCCTGTCCTTTTGACCGAGTGTCTGTCTTGGACAAGGCGCATAGAAAGAATGACAGATCCAATTAACGGGCAGTTCGCCACTGGGCGGGCACTTAGCACTTGTTAAATGTTAAATGTGTACGCAACGCACTTGTCACTCAAAGATTAAGACTTAATGCTTGATGGAAACAAGTTAAATTAAGTAAGTTACAGAGGAAATTTCCGGGATGGAGCAGATTTTCTAATGCGCTCAAATTAAGTGAAATTGGCGGCGCCTCGACGCCTAAATGTGCACTTAGTGCTAATGTAAATTGTCGACTTACCGAATTCAAGTAGACATTTCCACCGAACGAGCTCATATTTAAGATAATGCCGTAATATACCAGGTTCATGGTAAACCAAATGCACAGGAAACATATGGAGATGCGCCTCAAGTAGCTGGACCGAAACAGATACGTAAAGTCCTGCGAGCTGCTCTCCTGCGTGGGCGGCGTCAGCTGATAGTCCGGGGGCAGCTGTCGTCCATTGAAAACGGCCGCCGCCTCAATGATGCGTCTCACTTCCTCAACTCGACCCTTGACCAGCAGCCAGCGCGGAGATTCCGGCACCACAAACCTGCCAAAAAGAGAGCACGACATAGTTTCAGTCTTAGTCCCACAGTCATAAATAAGACACCTCCTCGTCTGGTCGGAGGCGTCTTATGTTTATAGTTGGGACTCCCACGCTCGGTCGGTTCTTTATTTGCCATTTATTGCTCAGCCGACTCAATGATCTATGCGCTACAGACACAGATGCATACAAAATATTTAGATATATGTATGTAAACACAGACGATATTTTATTGGCAGTTTACACTTTTCACGCGCCATGAGGAGCGTCTTTATTTTGTTTAACTTTACGAGAACCTTTTGATCCAGCTGAAATATTTTGAATTTAATTGACCTTACCAGAGAAAACAGAGGAAAATGCCCGGAACACCAATGCACAGCTGCAGACGTTGATAGTCTTGCGTCAAATAGGCCAGACCAGAGATAATCATATACGAGATTGGCAGTGGGAACAGATTGTACATGCCGGCTATGGTGCGCCACTTGCCATCCACATACTCGATGGCCAATATGAGGCCGGAGTAGGTGACCGAGACGGAGACGAGCCCCAATAGGGCACGCAACGTTAAATATAGCTCAAAGGAACTGCAGAAATACAGCCAAAGACCTGTCGGTGGGAGATATATAATATATAAATGGTTAAAGAATATCAATGAGAATCATCATGTATTCAACCTGATGTATATTATTGCTACTGCTAAATTTAAAATTATATTCTTTTCGAAAAGATATAAAATAATCACATTTATCAAACCAAGTATTATTCAATTATCTTTGAAACATTTAATGTTATTGATTTTCTATCTAATAAATAAAATGTTGAAAGAAATAACAAAAGAAATCTCTAACTATCCCAGGAAGCAAACCGGGCTTAAGCCAATCGGGTTTTAGCCCGAAAGTATAATATTGTTCTAGACACAAGCCATATCCAGAGGGAACCTTAACACAAACGAAGCTATATATATTTTTTTTAATTATTTGATTTACAAACAAAAACTTTTGCTTATATTATATTGTTTTAAATTAAATGTTATTTAAATGCCCAAACAAATATTTGTTTGCTTTGAAATTATATAAATTTCAAAAATGGTATAATGCATATTAAAGTCCGTCGATTGAAAATAATTGGCAACAGGTAAGTGCATAAAATTAAAAAAATCAAAGTGTCGGTCTCAGAAATTTCTCGACTAGCCACAAAAGGGCACACAACACGTTGCGAGGCTGTACGTGTCTAGTTTGCCCCGTGCGCATCCCTTAATAGTAATGTCCTTTTGTATGCAAGTTCCAATTACATTGAACGTGATTTAATCAACAAGGACAACAAGGCAGGCAAATGCAGCAGCAGCTGCGGCAGTAGCCACATCCACTGATGCATTGCCAACTCAACGATGACCCCGCCCACCAATGCCAAGTTCAAAGTCAACAGGGGACACTGGCGGCATTTGTCAATGCCACTTCCGTGTATATGTGCATGGAGAGCTGGCAGTAAAGGTCACTGCAGCATCATAATTATGTGGCGACGCTGATGATGATGATGACTGGGGATGGGGATAAGGATGCACTGTTAATGGCTGGCGCCCAGCGCAGCCCACTCACCGAATATGGTCTGCAGAATGGCCGATATGAAGAGCATTGTTTTGCGGCCAAACTTGTCAGAGAGATAGCCGGAAATGATGCCACCTGTTGCGACGCCTAATAGAAAGAACATCTCGGCCACGTTCTTTAAATGCTCCTTGTCGCACACCAGATCCCACTGCGATGTCCAAGTGTTGCCGACATTGTCGTTCGTCGCGTACTCCCAGTTGTTGCAGGCAATCAGCTTCCCGTCGTCGGCAGTTGCTGCCGCAGCTGCTGCCGCCTGTTGCTGCAAGCCGCGATAAGAGCATTAGTTACCCATGGTTGGGTTTGGATTTAAATAAAATTTCATGCATGGCCACCCCACGCTCCTTACCTCCATCTGTTCGGGTAACGTGTCGTTGCTCAGCTGGCTCCAATCGATGCCGGCAAGCACATGACAATTGTCTTGAGAGCCGCTCAGATTACGCCAAACATCGACGGGCAATTGCTGGAGATTTGATGGCCGCTGACACCAGAACTCCTTGTTGGCCGCCTGGTACACGGATGAGGATATGTGAAAGGTGTTTGGCACCTGGAACAGCGACAGCAGCACCGTCATGACTAACTGCCATTTGCCATAGTGACCCATCAAGTCGCCAATCACATCGGTCTCATCCTCATCGTCAGCTGGCCCGGCACCGGGCTCTGCCGCCGCCATCGGTGACTGTGTGGGCGTGGTTATGGGGGACGGTTTGCCGGCTGTGTCGTGCATGGCGCACAAAGGAACTGCAAGGTTGCAAAAAAAAAATTGTTATCAGTCGCAATTGACATGACCTCTCCTTCAACGGTATTGCAAGAAACACTTAAGCTAGCTTACAAATTTAATGCTTTCCATAGGTAAAATAATTATTTAGCTACTAGGAAAATCTCTAGGTGGAAACGTAGTGTTTCAGATACATACATTTTAAATAAACTTTGGAGAGTAGTCATCTCTAGTTACTTTAAGTTTGAATAAATAAAATGAAATAAAACAAGTGAAGTTCTTTATTTATACCCAGAACCCACTGTAAGTGGTTAAAGGGGATGTATAGGATTTTTTAATTAATTTACTTAGGACTGCTGTTCAAAAAGTTATTATTATCTTAGCTCATCAAGTCTATAATAGCTAAAGAAATTTCTTATCTTTTTTCTTTAGATACGTGATCTCTCAATATCATACGTATTCATAATTTCATCGTTTTACTTCAGAGCCTGACAAGGTGCACGCATATGGCCATTATACTCAATGGTAAAGGGCATTCAAATTAATTTTATGGCGCGTGTCAGGCGCACACAAAGGCGCAATTAGTTAAGTGGCCAGTTTCCAGTGGCCCAGTGGTGGTCATAAACCAAGTAAGCCTCTCAGAAACAGGCAAGCGGGCAGGCCAAAGTCAAAGCCAAAGCCAAATGCAGCCAAGTTAAGCAGCGAAGGCGACTCTATTTCATTTATTACGCGAATCCGCAACCGTTTCCCTCCAGTTTCCAAAGCTCACAACCTGCGTTCGATGGAATTCAATCACATCGTGGGCGATTAACCACATCTGGCCAAAGTCCGATCCAAGTTACCAGCAAAAGTTGTGTGCACCCAAATACAAAGTAAAAGAACAAGAATAATAGCTAAGATTTAATGTAATTGCGTTGGGTGGAGGCGGAGGCCTGACTGGTCGTCGTCATGTTTGTGTCCTTTTCTCAGTTGGCTAGTTCAACAATTTGTATACCCTTACATAGGGTATTATAATTTTGTCTTGAAATGTATAACGCATAGAAGGAGACATCTCCGACCCCATAAAGTGTATATATCAGTATCAACATCCGAGTCGATATATCCATGTCCGTCTGTTCGTCTGTCTGTTTTTATGCGAACTAGTCTCTCTGTTTAAAAGCTATCTTCATGCAACTTTGCAGAAGTCCCTCTTTCTGATGCACTTTCTGGATCGGACCACAATATCATATAGCTGCCATAAGAACAATCGGTCGAAAAGTAGGTTCTTGTATGAAAAACTTTTTTGTTTATTTTTTTATTATGATATATAATTTTACTATGCGTCTCATATATATGCAAAATCCTATCAACATCGGAACACTATATCATATAGCTGACATAGGAACGATTGTGTCGAATATTAAGTTTTTGTATAGAAAACTTTTCTCGTTCTCAAGACATTTTGAAAATAACTCGGCGTTTAAAAGTTATAATACGTTCCCCACATTTATGCAAAATCTTATTGACATCGGACCACTATATCATATAGCTGCTATAGGAACGATCGGTCGAAAATGAGATTCATGTATGAAAAACCATTTGTTTTTCAAAATATCTTAACCATACTCAGCATTAACTATTTTCACTGTGCTTTTTAGATACGGGCAAAGCGTTTTTAGATACGGGCAAAGCGTTATAAGCATTATTAAATGGTTGGGTACAAAGGATATTAAATATTCGGCGTGCCGAAGATAGCGCTTTATTCGTTTTTGTTTTTTTTTTTGCTAGCAGCCTTTCTTTCATGCGGTCGGCGTCGCCTTTGTAGCGCATTGGTTTTGTTCGGGATTTGCCAGCTCAGCCAGTGACTGACTACTTCCATACAGCCATAGGTAACAATATCAATGCCAACAAGTAAGTAATACCCTCCCTCCTACAAGCCAAGGCGATACAAAGAAATAAAGTTTGACTTAAATCTCATTGAGCTGCTTTTTTCTTGGCTACATTAAGCGGTTAATCCTTTGGCAACTTTGTTCTTGTGCCTTATAATTAAACACTTTAGCACACGTCAAATGAAATCAATTTGGCATTTCGTCAATATCATTAAGTATTTATGTGGGCGGTTGTGGGCGTTATGATTGGAACGCAAAGTAACCAAATGCTCGCACATACAAGCCGTAATATTTGAAGTATGCAATATAAGGATATGTCAATTAAAATAACTAGAACAGCAGCTTTTTCTCAATATATTTATATTTTTCATTGTACTATTGCTGATACCAGATAATGATGGGCTATAAGAATCGTCAAACTCTTTGACAGTTTTTAAGCCGTTCGACAAAAGGTAAACAACATTAATTTATTTATGTTGCCTGCTTGTTAAAGATTAATTTAGTTGCAGAACTATGAAGAGCTGATGCTCTCTTCTGAAATAATTATGTGAATATTATGGCATAATTCATGCGTAAGTGCACATTACTTTTCCTGCTGCATTCAACTCGGCTTAAATTAGCATTTTGCGTATTTGCTCAGCACAGCTTGTGTGGGTGTTTGTCTCTGTTGCTGGTATTCCATGTGTGGCCAGTTGCCGCTTGGCCGCAGTAAAATTCACGCCACACGCTGCAGGCCGCCCGCCGCATGCCACATGCCGCACGTGATAAGCAGTTAAGCGCAAATTTTCACGCACTTGTAAACACAATAAGCGAAGCGTACCCGCGAAAAGCCGCAAGCCAGGGCTGACTGGAGCGGATGGGCCAGAAGGACGATTGTCGGGCAACTGGGGATGCCAGCAAGGCGCTGGCAGGATAATTAATTATCAATTTCATAGTCGCCATGCGATGCAGCTGCAACATATGCGCGGCATCAACGTATCAACACACACGCACACACACCTTCACATAATAGTTGTCTGTACCTGCTGTGCACTGCCTTTTCGGTCAGGGAAGTCGCATGGGGATGCAACACAACAACAACAAGTAGTAAATGTTTGTTTGTTGGCATTGCCGTTGACATCGCAGTTAGCGCCCACGGGCAGCCAGTCCCTGAAGGTCGTCGCACGCAGCGGCCTGGCTGGTGTGTAGGCTACATGGATGTTGTGGGTTGTTAGGGGTGTTCGAGGGCGGAGGGTAGAGGGCAACACTTTGTGTGTCGGCGACTCAATCTCAATGCTATAAACTACGTCGTTGCCATTACAATTTTACCTTCAACTCATTCGCGCCAGGCGGGCACACATGGCGTATGCGCAATCGTATGGCACGCTGAAAATAACACTAATTGCATTTTGCAGCTGTTGTCCAACTAAACGGAACTGACCAAGCAGCCCAATAGATCAACTAACCCAGTCCCACTTGTAGGGCAGCCCCCATTGGCATCACTACAATGCACGTTCTTATGAAAAATAACATCTACTTAAAACATTCTAGTTTGAAGTGGGGGACATTGTCTTCGATTTTGGTCATGTATATACAACTTTTTTTTGCTAGCTATGCAGGTATAAAGTGAATCATCTTAGAATAGATGCAGGTATATAGTGAATCATCTTAGAATAGAAAGAATCTGCTTCAAGCTGACAGCCAGACATTGAGTGAAACGTTTGGCTAGGAAATACTACAAACAATGCGTTACCCATTTCGCGCCAAAATTATTACATCTTTTGTATGTGTACTCTAGTCGCGCCTGCCCGTTTAAAAGGTTCCTGTATTAATAACCGTAAAATACATTAGCTATTACTTAACAGCCCTCAAACTATAAAATTACACTTTAATTTTCCATTTAATGGATACACTAAATGTAAAAATTGGTTGACCAAGCGCACCTGGCTCCCACGTATGCTAGAAAAAAACTAAAAGTTATAATAAACTTGTTCTGCAATTAAGATGCCAAAATATAAGTCAAAATTAAATAGAGAGAAATAGATCAATGGTCTTGGTTAAATTAATAGAGAAATCTCCTTTAGACTTTTACATTCATTTGCAATCCCACAATATACCCCAATTACTCATATTCAAGCCGTACAGAGTATAAAAATAAAATATTTCTATACATTTTATAAGCACAATGGCTGGTGCAACAGGCAGCATTCACTTAGTTGATTATATTACCCTCTTGCTCAAGCTGTTTAATATGCAACTCAAGACAAAATGTTGTTTTCTTATTGCCAATTATCGACCTATTTCTATATATATTGAACTTATATCTAAAGTGCAGGTCGTAAGTATTTGAAACATTCAATACACTCCTCGCAAAAATATGCAGTGCTGGCGCTCTGACGCAGTTTGCATTAATCGGTCGATCTAGTTTTTGCTGCCAATTTGTTACTTGATTGCCCCCAAAGAGCTTGTTTACAAACTGGGCATACATTTTCGTATACGAGCAGCTAGATATCCCACACATCGCACTTTGATTAGCAAACACTATGCAAATGTAGTTGCAACGGTCCATGCCCAATAGCTAATTACAATCACATAGTAAAATTAATCTATGCATATTGCGATCATAAAAATACATGCTAATGCATAAATATGCATCCATTCAACAGTCGTCGCCTCAAAGTCAAGTTCACTTGGTCGGGAGCGATATGATATCCGATACGGATGTGTTTGGGCGCGATCTTTTGACACGCTTCAACAGCCAGCGCCAACGCCTGCACCAGCGGCAGCTGCCTTTGCTCATCGCTCATCGCTCGCTCAATTGAAAAAGATATACACGCTGCTCAAATAATGATTTGTTTCAATTGAAAAGTCAATGTCAGCACTGAAAGCCCAGGTCCAAGCCGGCACCAACATCATCGTCTAGGTTTATTCATATGTATGATTAATTAAAAGTTGAAATAGCGCCCGGTTCAAATTAACTGGCCGCTGAGAAAGTCCCACAATAGGCAATTTCTTTGCTTAAATTTACATAGTTCAATTATGAGCTATATTTGTGCAAAGGAAATTCATTTCAATACATCATCTGCATAAGATTTGCGCAATTGCCTATTTATATATAAATATGGGGTTTCTCTCGATAACAAAATTCTTAACCAGTCTTAATGATAATTATTACA